TGCTACTTGGCGATAGAACATGGCTTGTGACATGTACAAATCAAATTATTTGTTGTAGGGTGGCGAAAGAGTTTGTAACTTTTTAAATCAAATTCATCAATTGTTTTGTAGTCAGTACGTGGTCTGATAGTGGGGACACACCAAGCATGCACAATTGCTATTTGGTTGTTAAAAAGTAATAAATCCATATGTATTATTATGCAATTTTGAAAGCAAACTGACTTGAGTTAGTATGTATTGAATTGACAGCTATGAATTATGACCGTTCTATGTTATTGGCATGTACTGGTTTGTTCCAAAAGACCAAAATAAAACCAATCAGTGTTTCCTTGTACTTCTAGTTTGACTCTTTCTTTAATGGCCAGGTGTAACTGTTACAAGCAGAGAGGCTGTGACCAGGTCTGAAGGTATATTTTCCCCCCTCCCTTCCACTTCTCTTTTTGGGTGTCAAATCACCTGCTGATGTTATTTTTTTAGTCATCCAAATTTCTGATTTCTCTCTTAAACATGCTCTTCAACGTGTCATTAGACTTGCAGCCTAAATTTTTTTTTTGTTCTCTCTGATTACAAGGTTGCACTTGCTATTGTAGTTTGCAATTAAGACGCTCAACTAGTTTTAACAATATATCTTATTCGTGGCTATGTTATTGTTATCTTAGCATTGTTTCTCAAGCATTATTATCAGTAATACTATTTCATCTTAGTAGTATGGTTTTTGTGTTATCCTTGAGTTTTTGTAGTGGGAAGCGAGAACCAAGTAGTCAATTATGCTGGTATTCATGCCTTCATGGACATATGGTTTAGTTTTGATTTATTCCATATGTTCATATTGCCTGTGGTTGTCTCCTTTTGTCGAGCAGTATCATTCGATCTCTTTTTTACTTAACTAGGTTTAGTTGTTGTCTTGATCTGATACTATTCTCAAGTTGTAAAGCCAACTCTATGCAAATACATCTTGAGGCCATTTTAGTGCTTGAACAAAAAAGGTTACATATTAGGTTTGGAAGAACAGAGCATTGTATACTCTGCATCTAAAAATACTAATTCGATGTGCAGGAGCATGCCTCTTATTTACCTTCCCTTTTTTTCCGTAACAGCTCCTGAGCTCTAAAGATACATGGATGTACGCATCTCTTGCCTATAACCACATGAGCATGGACCTCAGTCCAAATGTTGCTGTGAAGCAATCATGACCGTCCGAAAAGAGTTGTCTGAACTGATCAGATGGGAGCTAGAACACAGTGCATGGTCCATCTTTTCATAAATCTGTAATTAGCCCTGACTTTACATTCTTCAGTTGCTTCTTGCAAGTATGAGCAAGAAGTTCTTTTGAAATAAAAATTGGACCATGGGTTCCCTTGTCATATGAGATATCGACAGTTCACGGAAATGGGAATTTCTCTAGGGTGCATTAATGAATGTGCTGAACATTTGGATCTTTATATGTATGCTATCTATTATGTTGTGATGAAATTACAGTATGAACAGTCCATATTTAATATGTTGTTGCTACTGTTCTGTTTCTATATAAATATTGTATCCAATTTGCTGCATGGTTAAGGATTTTTCTGTCGGTGGTCTGTTATTTTTCTGTGCGTTAACCGAGACCGACACAACATTTAAATTTAATCTGGGCTAACGCAATTTTTCTGTGCACCGTAACACGCACAGAAAAATTATTTTCCTGTCGGGCTTTTCTTTTTTCTGTGAGGATCAACGCACACAATATTTAAATTTAATCTGGGCTAACGCAATTTTTCTGTGCGTGTAACACCCACAGAAAAATTGTTTCTGACGGCGAACACACAGAATAATTGAATTTTTCTGTCATTATATTTCTGTGGGTATTTTTCTGAGGGTACACCGTCAGAAAAATATTTTTCTGACGGTATTCGTATTTTTCTGTGTGTTTTCGCACACACAGAAAAATGCGAGATTCCAGTAGTGTACCCACCTACTTCGCCCTGACGATTACCATGACCCCAGTTGTGTCGTCCACTCCTGCAGCATCCACATTGCCGACGCAGACCATCGGGGTGACCACACACCCACCGCTCCAACGGAAGCGTCGCCTCCAGCCACCTCTATAGTTCCCATCTCCTTTCGGCTCCCGATGCTTCCATAGCTCGCTACGGTGAAGAAGAGATCACAAAAAAAGTCCGCTGGGGCGCTCCTCTCCCTTGTCACCCACCATGAGGCCTCGCCTTCCATCCGGTTGTGTTGCGCTAGCATGGTCATCTCTGTTACCATGGGCACCAAGCGGCCCCTGATGCCGATCGCCGCCACCACAACTGCACGCCGCACTGCATCAGCAATGCCCGACTCTTCGGTTGATTCTTGCCAGGCCTTGGGCAAGGCAACCCACCCAACGACATCCTCGTCGGCGACATACACCACCACAGGTGTGAGGCTGCCTGATGGGGCCGTCCAGGATTTTTTTTTTAATTGCTATTTCTTTAACGCAGATTTGTGATTTTTGGAAAACGGATTTGTAGGGGCGGCTCTATATCCAACCGTCCCTACAAATATTCAGCTGCCCCTACAAACCGATTTGTAGGGACTGCTGGCAAACCGTCCCTACAGATCATCGATTTGTAGAGTCGGGGCGTAGGGGCGACCGGCTAAACCATCCCTAAAAATGGTCTGGAGCCACCCCTACAAAGTCTTTCTGTAGTAGTGAAGCTACTAATAAGCAACACTTGAGATGACACGAGAACGAATGAGGAGAGGTAGCTAGAATTAGAATATATGAGGACAGATGACACGATCGAGATGCTACAAATGGAGATGGATGGGCAAACTGGCAAGGTCAATTGACTATCGGTGCCCCTGTATCATGCTAGCTATTTATAGGTACTAAATTTGGGCATGCATCGACCATTAGAAGCCCTAGCTAGCTATAGGCTACAGCTAGTTTACATTATAAACATCTAGACTAAATTTGAGACTTCAATGAAGGCATCTCGCAACGTGTTACAAGTTGACGTATAGAGGATTACTTATTAGTTCTATCTTGCTCCAGTCGCGTTGCAAGTTTGCGTCAGAAGTCAGAAGTAGACGTTCCTTCAGATACACAGTACTGTTCAATGAACTTGTGCATGCATATGGTTTGTTGGTACTCGAGGAAGAACCAGTCAGGGCTATTTGGAAACTCAAATCTTCACACGAGCCCTGGCTTTTTCCTGAGTGAAAAACTCATGGGGATATCATATAAATAACTCATTTAGTTTTTCATCGAGGATATTTCATCCCTAGGTGTGCCTCTCGCTTGCTTCCAAATTAGCCCTCAAGGGTTAAACCATGGGGCATGGGCCAGCCACGGGTACGGTGATTGATTCTTTGTTCTAGATTGGGATCGGAACACTAGTCATTACTCATTAATGATAACCAAAACCTTTTCTATCATTCAAGCCCTCTTTGGAAAACAGGATTTTTTTCCTATTCCTATGTTTTTCTCGGGAACATGAACTGATTCCTGTGTAATTCCTATACAATTCCTGCATTCCAAAGGGACACTCAAACTACAAATATCAATAACCGGAACTACCTTTTCTCTTTTGACTGTCACCTTTTGCTAGTGAAACATAAACCCTACCATATATCTTTGCCTTGATCTCTTCACCATCCATCCATGCCATCTTTCACCATAACACCAATGTTTTGCTCAAAGCATCCTTGTGGTCCTAACTTATAATCTTCATTTATCACATAAAATGTTAGTCCACAGGTATTGTCATTAATTACCAAAACCTAAAAAAGGGCTCAGATGCTTTCAATGTCACTACATACGACCGACAATGTTTTGACCATTCCAGTAGAAGGATAGACCAGCCTATAGTTCCCTGTGTATGTGATGCTTAGGAGTCTCCCTCCTTGAGGGAGTTGCTGAGTTCCGTTGACGGAGTTTTTTCGGGTAGCAGCGTCCCCTGGGTGCCGGGTCTGAGGGCCGCCGAAAGCTAGCAGACCCTGCGGCCTAAGTTTCTCTGCCAAAACAGGGCCTGGGGAACTTGGCGACATACAAACTCCACGGAGTATGAACTCGGCGATGTATGAAGTCACCGATACCAAGAGGGGTGATGGTACCCTAGGTGCAGGTATCGTCACAAACTAATTGACTAACAAAATAATTTTAGATCTGGATCTAGTCAAGCCGAATGTAATCCCTATTCAAAAACCAATAGTAGACCATAAAAATCGAGACATGGCCACTAAACAAGTTTATGAACTTACTCCCCTGCTAAAATCAACCTAGGACCTTCAAAGATTTGGTCTAATTTCATTTATAATTGTCTCAAACCATGCAAATAGAGACAAAATCAAGAACCTAATTAATCTAGTAATCTAATGTTAAACCTTCAAAAAATGTTAGGAATGGCATGCCTTATCTTCGAGATAAGTTTCCTCCTTCCAAAAAAAATTATGAGAAAAACCTTCCCCTTAGACTTGTAATTTTGTGGTTGTTTGAGCTTCCCCTTCATTCCTTCTCGGGCTACAATTCTATCCCGAGAACGAGGAAGGGGAGGAGGCTGCTTTATATACCGGGCCTTGTTAGTAGAGCTGTCTCTTCAAATAGTAGTGTGCATTTATAGAAATGGATCTCACTTATACCACTTCGGAAAATGTCCCTTCCCAGATGCTTGAAAGTGCAAGCTAATAAATTAGTGGGTCCCATTGAGGTCATAGTAGAGGTGTGGCTGGGAATTGAGTCGCCTCTCAGTTTGTTCTTGCAAGAGCAGTAAACCAAGAATTCTTCAAAAGCTCACGTTGCTTTATTTTCGATAGAAGGCTTATAACTGACTAAATATGCAAAATGCATAGAAACGTGAACATACAGTAACATTCACTAGCTTATCTGCTAGGCACCACATTTATTACCATATTATTGGACATGAGATGACAAGAGATTAACTCTGCGGAGACAGAGTTGTTCCAACAGGGAAATCCAAATCCAAACACAAACAAACCTACGGAAACAATGCAAGCGGCGAGCATCTCATCTCTTACGCGCCCTGCTGGGTACAGTTCTTGGAGCACCTGTCATAGCAGTACGTTAGACAGTACCCCATATACCTTTCATTGTAACTCTGGCATCGTTGTACCGCACTACCCACGGCTGGGTAAACAGCGTTACGGCATGATTCACAGCAGCTGACTGCGTGGGGGTTGTCGCAGGAACAGGTGCCGACGCCGCAGCCACTATGGACACAGGACTTGCCAGGGCAGGTATGGTTGGTGCAGCTCTCATAGCACCCGTTGAAGACGCCTTCGGCCAAGCTCGTGCAGTTGCTGGGGTGGTAACCGGCTTCGCAAGACGGAGTACATTGCGAGGCGCAGTCACTATAGGTGCAATTGCTGATGGGTGACGGCGCTGGCGACGCAGGCGTCGGGGTCGGCATGGGCGCTGGCACTGGCGTCGGCGTCGGCGTCGGCGTGGGCGCTGGCACCACCGGCGGTGGCGAGGGCGGCGGTGGCTGCTGGCCCGTGTAAGGGGGAGTGGATGCGGGCGACGTCGTCGGTGGCTGCTGTCCCATGGAAGAGTGGAGCAGCAGCATGACGCACACGGCGACGAGCAAGGCTTTTTTCAGAGCAGCAACAGCTGAAGCCATATCTTTTTGGATGGGACCAGCAAGCTAATAAGCAAAACTTGAGATGACACGATCGAGATGCTACAAATGGAGATGCATGGGCAAACAACTCAATTGACTATCGGTGCCTGCCTGTATCCTGGATCATTTGCTAGCTATATTTATAGGCACCAAACTTGCGATTTGAGACTTCAACGAAGGCATCTTGCAACATGTCACTAGTTGACATATAGTATGAACTGGATTAATCACTTATTAGCTCGCTCTACTATCTTGCTCCAGTCGTCGCGTTACAGTGCAAGTTTACGTCACAAGTTGACGACGCTCCTTCAGAAGTTCAGATCTCATACGCATGCAGTACTGTTCAATGAACTTCTGCATGTGGCTTGTTGGTACTCGAGGAAGAACCAGTCAAGGGTAAGCATGGTGATTGATTCTCTGTTTGACATCAGGAATTAATGGTACTCTTTATTCACAAACAAAAAAAAATTCTGCCATGCAACCTGCAAAGCATGCATGTGAGCATCAGTACCCCGGCACCCAGCTTCTTTTATTTGAGGAAAGGAGGGCAGCATGCCTATACTAACCATTCATATAAAAGATTCTATGATTTTACCCAAGTTAAAAGAGAGGATTAAGATCATCCTCAAAATAAACTAATAAAAATGTATATGATCGAAATAGATCTAAACTACTCCATGGGATAGACCGATCACATCCACATACTCGCACATCTCGCAACGTCCGCCCGCAAGCTGCCATGAATCAGTCAGAAAAAGGCTAGTGGGGCTTGAGTTTGACCGTGTGATCACAGAGAGATCAAATAAAATGGCATGCAGCTCCTGCCCGCACACTACTGCAGCACCTGCCCGCACGCTGCTGCTGTTGTCGCCGCGCGCTGTTGCCACCGCGTATGCCCGCCCCGCCTGCTGTTGCGTTGCAACATACTCTTGCAACATATGTGTATGGCCACTGCAATATATGTAACATCCAAATAAAACACTTGCAACATACGTTTTAAACAGTGGAAACATTTGAAACATGCAATTGCAACATGCGTGTATAGCCAATTCAACATATGCAACATCTAGATAAAACACTTGCAACGTACGTTTGAAACAGCTGAAACATTTGGAACATACACTTGCAATCTACATGTATAGCCATTATAACATATGCAACACCAGATCTACTTTTGCAACATCTAGATGAAACATATGTAACATACATATGAAATGCGTGAAACATACGGTTGCAACATGTGCTCACTACGAGCGCAGCGTGAGGCACGAGCGGGGGTGCGAGGCGTGGACGGCACGTGGGTGAGGCACGGGCGGGGTGCGCGGCACGAGGCGCATCCGCATGCGAGGCGTGAGGTACAGGGGGCACGACACGAGGCGGGTCCAGCGCGAGGCGCAGGGACGCGCGGCGCGTGACGGGTCCGTCCCGGTAGAATTGGCCACAGCGGACGAATAGGAAAGAGAAGCGTCCATATTTTTTTAATAAAATGGAGAAGCCGTGAGGGGAGTTGGGCCGGTCAGACCTAGTCCGCTGGCCCAGCGAAGGCACGCGCGCGTCCGACCGGCTGGACGCTCAGTAGGGAGCATTACCGATATTTCTACCCTCCGGTGGTCCACGCCACACAGGGGCGGATCTAGGGCATGAGTTTGGTGGACTTGTAATGATTGTTGTAAAGGTCTTGTTAATTAAAACTGTGCTTGGAGTTTTCACATGGATAGGAGTAACATGGAATGAGCATTTCCCTGGTACATAGTCTGAACCTCTAGATATGCATGCTGCAGACTCTGAAGTCTGAACCAGTGGCGAATCTAGGATTTTGTCTCAGGGTATGCTGCCAAAAAAATTTCATATATAATTCGGTAAATCCATTTCAGCAATTCGGTAATAATTGTAAAATTGACAACATGATTCGGTATATATGCACTAAATAACACAATAAGGCTTAAATTCATGGATTAAGTTCAAACCATCCACTAAGTATAGTATAAATAGTTCAAAAGCCATATCAATAATTGAAATAAGGCATAAAAGAGAACCAGAGACTTACAATGCTATTTTGTGACTATTTTATTCGACGTTTTCGAAGGGATATAAATGTATTGATTATATCATCTTCATCAACTTCAAAGAAAATATCCCGCTCAATGAAAGTGACTAGACAGTCATCCAGAAGACTATCTCCCATCTTATTTCTTAACTTTGTTTTCACAAAAACCATTGCAGAAAATACCCTTTCAACACTTGCTGTTGCCACAAGTAGAAGTAATACCAATTTGAGGAGCTCATAAACTATATCGTACGCTTTGTGCCTCTTTGTTTCAACAAGCTTAACTGAGAGATCAACAATATTATCTAGACCTTTGAAGCTATCATCATGTCTCATGTCATCAATATAATTATCTAGCTGCAACTCAAGTTTGAGCAAATTATTATTTGAGAACTCCTTTGGGTAGAACTCAGCTAGTCTACGTAGCTTCTGTGCATCAAAAGAAGCAAATAACTTGGAAGGACTGAAGGCCGACATAAAGACAACAACTTCATATTAATCTCATCAAATCGATTATCAAGTTCTTGACTTATTTGATCAATGACACCAATATATACTTCTCTTCTAAAGTGGTCATCATTGGTTTGCTTTTGGGCACGAGCTTTCCTTGCTGATTTTCCATAAGGAACATAATCACCATCCATAGCAGGAACTTCAACACCATGTTTATCGCAAAACGAAGTGACCTTCTCAAAAAAAATTATCCCAACCATCAGACCTCAATTTTTGCATTCTTTTCTTTGCCACATTAACAAGTGATATTGCATTAAGAATATCTTGGTCCCTTCTTTGCAAACACTCAGATAACTCATTTGTATATCCAAGAATAATACATTAAGTGTGCAAAGAAAACAAACTCAAAGTTCTCAAACGCCCCGGTCACAAAATGTATTTTGGTCCAATCATCCTTATATGCAGGATCATCCCCAAGATCAACCGGTACATCATGGATTGCTTCATACATAGTAATGATGCTGCATACAGTTTTGTAATGAGATCCCCATCGAGTATCTCCAGGCCTAGGCAAACTCATCTCTTGATGTAATCCAGTTCTAGATTCAATTTTACCACAGTCAAGTGCTTTCTTGACATTCTCAAGCCTAGCATTTGTAAGCATGTCATGACGCTTACAGGAAACTCCAACAATATTCAATAAGATAGGTATTTGATCAAAAAAAGTCTTGCAATCAGTATTTCCCTTGGCAACAGCAACAAGAACCAATTGGAGTTGATGAGTAAAACAATGAATATAATAAGCAGAAGGTGATTCTTGCATGATCAATGTTTTCAACCCTTTAATATCTCCTTTTATGTTGCTAGCCCCATCATATCCTTGACCACGGATTTGAGTCATAGTCAAGCCATGACTAACAAGTAAAGCTTCAATTGCATCCTTAAGTGATAAAGAGGTAGTATCATCTACATGAACAACTTCTGCTTAAGTATTTCCCTTGGCAACAGCAACAAAAAAAAGTTCAATGAAGTTCCCCCTGTTGCTAGATTCTTCACTTTCATCATGTCCACGAAACGCCAACCCTTGATGCAAAAGAAACTTGATACACCTAAGTGAATAAGTTAATATTTTCTTATAAAGATGAAGATCCTCATCACTCCACTTCTCAATATTATAATCAATTGCTACCTTGAGATTTCTAAAGCCAATGTATCTCTCTTGAGCTGCAATATGTGCCTTAGAACCCATATGTTTGCGAAGTGTTTTCTCTCCTATATTCCAATTCTTTCAGCCATCAACAGTAAATGTGTCTGACCCAGTACCCTTCTTGAACAAATAGCATATGAAGCAAAACACAAAATCCTTCTTAATACTATACTCAAGCCAATCATTATTATACATCCAACAATAGTTGAATCCCCGATCCCTATCTGAAATCTTTCTGTTTGGAAAAGCATGTGCAAAAGGTTTGAATGGACCTTTAATAATATATGCTCTTCGAATTGCATCTTGATCATTAACAGGATATTTTAGAATATGATGTCTTTCACCTGGATCATGTGGAAGGCGATTGGTGTCATAAACTCGTGGCAGTGAACACGGTTGTGGCGGTGGCATAGGATTTATAATTTCCTCAACTACTCTCTCATGAATCTGCTCTTCCACCACAGGTTCAATCGGATCAGGATTAGAAGTAGCAGCAGCTGCCGCAGCCTTCTTCTTTGCTGCATGCTTCTGAAAAAGAGATGCAATGTCCTCGTTTCTCTTCATAACTGCATAAATATTACAAAGAACACAATGCCAAATAATTAAATAAATTGCGCTTGCACGATTGAACTCTCATATGCGATTATGGATCACTCACATGATATGAGTACTGAACAAAAGATCAATCAAGATCGACTCTGATGTTGAGAAAAATCCTCCACCTCGTTGCGTGATAGATGATTCTATAATTTTAGCGCTAAGCAATTAGCAATTAAAGTACACATGAATTTTTTTAAAAAGCCAAAGAACAAAGATTGAATCTCACCAGAACAATTGTGATCACAAATTCACCTAGATGCCGCCGGTGGCCGGTGCCGCCGTAGCCCGTAGGGCAGCGCGTAGGCCAAACAGGACACAAGGTCGGAGGTTCTCTTCGTAACTGCACGAATATTAGAAAAACACGATGCTAAATAATGAAACAATCTATTACTGTAATGTTAGCAAATAACACAAGAGATTAGATCAGGGGAACTAGAAAAGTGTGGCGTAGTCGTACTCACCGGGTCTTTGTGACTCTGCTGTCAGGGTGTCCGGCGGCGCCGGCGCCGTGACCGCGTCTCTCGCTCTACCCGTCCGTGACTGCCTATCGAGATTAGATTAGGGAAAAGTTACGCCTAACTGCGCCATGCTCTTTGTGGTCCGTCGAGAATTTCTTCGGCCGCTCGCGCTCACCACGGGCCGTCCGATCGTCACCTGCATATGAAGCCCGTGGGAAAACTGGTCTAGCCTGTCTTAGAACAGGCCCAGTTCTTGGACGGACCAATAGCCTAGGCAAGCCAAAACAACGCTTGGTCCATTGAGGATTGGTCAGAGTCGTTGATTGTTACTGTGCGGGCGTGGTCAATGTGAACGTCGCGTGGGCCGCGTGGGGTGCCTCAAGTGAGCCTTTCGTGGTGGCGTGATGCATTCTAGGTAAGTTTTTTTTTACATAAATACAAATGCAAATACGTATACAATATATAATAGTATATTCATCGGTGCCGCAGGGTATGCCAGTGCATATCTGGCATACCCTATGCCTCCGCCACTGGTCTAGACTACTGTCCAGCTGCTTCTGCTCTGTTTGTTTGGGCTTGTTTGGCTGATAAGCCATGACTGAAAGTACTATTGACTGATTTGGTGTGAGAGAAAAATATTATTTATCGGCTGAAAAAGTACGACTTATAAGCCAAACAAGCCAAGCGATCAGGGCGTGTGGTTGGCTGATGCAATGCAAACTCGATAAGTCTGTTGCCATGAACCGCAAGCTCGACTAGGAACAGGCTGCAAACTAGATGGATGTAGGACGGTTGGACGACTATGCCTTCGCCGAGCCAAAGCATTCCATGGTCACACCTGCAAAACTGTTTGTTTGATCGATCGAGCACTGAACATTCAGTTGCCCCCACAGCCACAGAGAGTTCATCAAGAATACCAGTATGTGTATGTACTCTGAAGTCTCAACTGAACCAGAAAGTTCAGAAACACGGGGATAAACTAAACTGAACTAGCTGCAAGATCTCATGTTGTCAAACTACACCGGCATTGCATCTGGGCACGCAGCCTTACCAACCATGCCGGTGTTCTTCTTCAGCTTGTATCGGAGTTCCATGAGCAATTATGTAGAAGCAAAGAAGATCTTGCTTCCGAGTAGCTCAGAGCAGTCCGGCAATTCAGAGTTGGACTTCACTTGTCCGCCACTCACCAAGACCCGTCTGCCTCTCCTCTCCGCTGCCGGCGACACACCGGTGACCGCAGGTACGGCCGCTCCCTCATCGTGAATCCTCCTCCCCCATCACGACTCCTTGCTCGTGTTCGCGGAGGAGATCCGCCGGGCTCGTCCACGTCCCTCCTCCCAGCTCTCCTCCCCCGTCCCCCACGGCCCGCTGCTGCCCCTCCGCCTCCGCGCGCCCCCTCGCTAAACCCAGCCCTAGCTTGGCTGCCCCCACTGCCCCGGCGCCACCACCGCGCCGCCGCCGCCGCCGCTGCCACTGTAGTCTTGATCTCATCTCCCTGCCCTGAATAACAGGACTCCCAACCCCAGCCCGGTCAACAAGATTATATATGTTACCGCCCGCCGTTGATTGAGCTTTTTGTTTGTTTGTTTGTTTGGTCGAGAGGATTCCTGGTGGAGGCTGACTCATATACCTGAAATAATGAATGACCCCGGTTTGCTGTAAATCATTTTACCGGTAATGTTGTGTATATATGACAGGCATTTGGTCATTAGTTATCATTCATGGTCGTGTATTTTGCGGTTAATCCTGAGATACAGGCCTGTGGCTTGTGTTGGTAGGATCTGTTTGGTGCTGCACATTGGGCAGACCTGCATTACTCTGTCTTAATGTAAAGCAGTAGGTGATTGCTAATTCAATCAGCTGAAGGCTCAAGTGCCTCTTTTTTGTCTGCATTTCGTACACCAATTTACAGGTGCTATAGTCAGCTTGCTACAGGTGTGCTTCTTCAGGCCATGAACCGTAGCAATATTACTAGCACCATTTAATATGGCTGTACATGCCTGTAAGCCTGTTAATATTTTCCGGGTCTCTTTTTCGCACATCTGTGTTGCTTCAGTTGTGTTCTTCTGTCATACTGTTTTTACAGTTATTATTATACTTTTCATCTTCATGCTAAATCAATTGCCCATGGTATAGCTCCTAAGTTACAAAGACACAGCTGGTATCAGTATCACTACAAAGGACCATTTTGTGCTGACTTCAAATGTACTTACTGGGCAGAACGATGAAGAATGAATTTTCTTTTGAGTTGCATTTGGTTGCACTAGTTGTGGGAGTACTGGTCTTATTTAGATTGCTGTCTTGTTGTATTTAGCAACCTTAAGCACCAATCTGGCAGCAATTCATTTAACTCATCTGTACTCATTCCTGAGTTTTGCTGTGGAAATCTCCAACAGCTTTGCGTTCATCTGAAATATCAGCAGTGCCTTTTGTGGCCACCTGGATACTAGGCAAAGTTATCTGGATCCTTCACAGGCATGGGCTAGGAAAGGCATCTGATCAGTTTGTCTCATATTCCCATGGATGGATTAAATAAATACTGGTACCACCTACAAATGTACGGGGATAACGTTTTCTTAGTTTAAAATTCGACAGATTTCCCTTTGGTACCTTGATATAAGTGCATTGATTCATTGATTGGAACACAGAAAAATGCAACGTGTTACTTCTTCGGTCACACATTAAATTAGTTATTATTTTGTGGATCTGGAAACTGATAGCTTTATTGAAACCAGTTCCTTTCCTTCCGGCGATGGAAGAAAAATAGGAGCTTTCTATTCATTTGTTCTCTTGTGATTATTTCTCCTGTCATTACTTTCTCGTACATTTATGGTTTCAGACTGGTAGCTTTCCCAGCTCAGTACTCAGTAGTATTCCTTTTCATTTTGGTATTGGAAACCTTATCAGACTAGATCTGTGTTGGCTTTCCTTGTTGCTGTACAGGGTCATCTGCACACCTGCAGGGTCTGTGACAATGTCTGGACCTTCGTCCTAACAGATGCAACATTCAAGAGCGCTGAGATTCAAGAAACACTAAGCAAGGTGAATTTGTCCCCTCTGAGCTTTGATTCTGTGAATCTAAGCAATCGGCCATGGCAATGGACTAGAGTACCATGGCTGCCAACATGTTATCTGTACTGAATATGGAATGTGGTTTTGCTCTTTTTCTGTTTAAAATTTAGATGAAAGTGTTGAAGTTGACATGAATTCTTTGTGCCTTACATAATCGTGCTTTGGTTTAGGTGACACGGGCCATACAAGAAGTAAATATTGTAGATAGATGTGTAAACTTCTTGTTCCATGCTCTGCTACTTTGATGCAGATGGATCTCAACGCCATGGTGGCTGCCTGCTATGCCCTTCCAGTACTTGTCTCTGTGCTCACAGTCCGCTTCTTCTACGTGCTGTGGCACAGTGGCCAACCAGCATCAAGGCCACGCACCACCGGATTGCGTTGTCTCATCGTCCTTGGCTCCGGGTGAGTACGTATTGCAGTCTTGTCTTGCCTGTCAAATACCTTATGGACAAGTTTTAAATGCGGTTGCCTGGTATATAAAACAGTACTCAAAGGTGTAAGCGCATACATAAGTAGTACCAACATGTGGCAATACTGAATAATAGTTGGTAACTGCAACTTCATATGCTGATCTTTTTTCTACGGTAATGAAAGCACAACTCTTGGTCTCTGTATATGGGAATTGGCTTTTCACTGACTTAATCACAGTAGACTGTCACAGAAGAGTTCTTGGGACAAAATCTTGTTTCATCCAGAAAAGTTATTGCTCCCAGGCAACCGTAACATTTGTGCCACAGCAATTCTGCTTTCTAGAGGGCATTGTCGCAATTTATACAAACTTGGTGCATGTTTAAATTTAAACTTGGTTCCTTTATTCGTTGCCATGTGCAAAGTTCATAAAACAGATCAAACTAAAGATGTGTCAACTAAGACAGCTTATATATGATGTTTATACAACACAAGATCATGCTCCTTGTGCAACTCTGATGACCCTGAACTGAGTTAGGAGTTCCCTTTTTGTAGCCTCTGCTAGACATTTTTCAGCTCCGGTATCTATTCTAAGAAGGGCGCATTTTTTTAATAATCTTTTTGCACTTTGGTTGACTTCCTTCAGTTTATTCTGCTCATGTGCAAATGCTATCTTAGTTGCCAATTTGCTAGTGTTGCGATATCTTGTCTTCTTCATTCTCGCCCTATTTAGCATGTATTGGCTTGTTTAATAACAGTATGAAAACTGTCAGGATCTTATCATTTTACAATATACAATTACAAAACACACTTGTATCTCTTAGCGATAAGTATATTTATGCTTTAGTTTTCTCTTGGCTTTTCTTTTTCCCATTGAGAAATTCTATTCTATTTTAACACATTGGATCACTATCAAATAGCATATCACTAGTATTTATAATATTTTACTGGACTCATGTGCACACTCTTGCCAGAACATTTGGTAGTTTTTCTTGAGTTATCAAGTGTCTATGTTGTAAGATATGTAGCTTGATGAAACATGTATTATTTTGTGTTTTGGTTGTTAGGAGGGCATACTGCAGAAATGATGAATATTGTAACAACACTTCAGAAAGATAGGTTCGCACCAAGATACTATGTGGCTGCACTTACTGACAACATGAGTCTTCAAAAGGCACAGGTCTATGAACAATCACTTATTCAGGTGGAGGTCAATTATTATGTTCCATTGAACCAATGGTTATGTTGGGAACTTGCTAGGCTATTTAAAAGGGAAAATTGGCTGCATACCATCAAAAGATGTCAAGTTTAGCTATCTACCATCAAAAGATGTCGAGATTCCTTCTTTGCTGTATAGCACCGAAAGGTCACAAAGTTGTTGGTTTCTACCACTTCCGTTAACTTTCGCTAACGTCCTGTTGTATCTCCGTTCTCGAATCATCTTCTTCGAAGCCTTTCCACGAAGAACACGGGCACGCAGCAGGCAAGGATGGCGTCGGGTTGGCCTGGCACTCGCCACTGCCAGCCCGGGAGGCGAAGGCCGGCGTGGCAGCAGGATTGGTCTCGGGGAGGAACATGAGCGAGGCGAGAAGGATCCAGTGGTCTCCCTGCTGACGGTGACCTTGGCAGCAAGGGGCGCTTCGCCATGGGGGGTCTTCCTTTGCCTGTCCATGCTCGCGCTGCATGCCCGCCTAGCGTATTCCGCGTCTGCGTCCGCACACTCGCGCCGCCAAGGACCCCGCCCCGCGCGTGGAGACGGGCGGCTTCGGCTCTGGCTCCAACCACCTGCGGCCGCGGCAGGGGCAGCCGTCCCGTGACTCCCGTCCCTGTCCCACACGGTCGGGAAGCCGCTGCCGAACGCGAAGGGAAGCGAGATGCCAGCCATGATGATGGTGAGCGCGCTGCGTCCTATGCGGCGGGGCGCGGCTGGGTTCAGCTCAGGGCTCACGAGGAAGAAGAACAAAAAAGCAGGCTGACGTTCGCAAGCGTGTGGAGGGCGGACGTGGAGCGGGGCTCTCCCTCGGCGGGGTAGGCGGACGCGGAGCGGGGCGAGGAAGACGCACGAGCTCCCCGGCGGCCGCGCGACGCGCTAGCTCTGCAGGCAGCTGCACGGGCGATGGCGCGCGAGCCGCGCAGGTGGCCGCGTAGGCGGTGGCGCGCGAGCCGCCCCCAGAACTTTGTCGTCGCGACCAAGGCCACGGGTGCCGGGACCTCGCTGGCGCGCACGGGGAGCTGCTTCGCTGCGCTCGTCTCTTTTGCCCGCGCGGCCTGCCACTTCCTCCGCGGTGACGGCGAGGCTTCGGACGCTCCGGACCCAATGTTGCTTCTACGCCTTCGTGCGGCTGCACCGGAGCGCCATCGTGGCTTCTCCTCACCTCCACTACCGAAGTGGAAAGAGAAAGAGACACAGAACGGATGGCGTTAGCAAAGTTAACAGAAATGCTACCGATCTATAACGTTGTGATCTTTCCATGGTATATATCAAAGAACCAATCTTTTAATGGTACATTGCCAAACATGCAATCTTTTGATGGTACATAGCTAATTTTCCCTATTTAAAATATGGAATATGATTATATTTAGTTCCTTTTCAGAGTGATGGAATGAAGACTGTCGAGAATACTCATTTCATGCAGATATATCGTAGTCGTGAAGTAGGCCAGTCTTATATTACATCCATCGCAACAACATTGCTAGCCACATTGCATGCTATGTGGCTAGTAATAAGAATCAGACCACAAGTGGTGTGTACGTAGTTCAAGCTATGGTGGCTATTTGCAGCCTGAGTTCAAATACTAATGTTTGTGATACTCCTTCAGATATTTTGCAATGGTCCAGGGACATGCTTTCCTCTATGCATCTCAGCTTTCCTTCTGAAGGTAGCCCTCACAGCCTAGCTTCAGTTATTATAAAGAACAGCCTACATCTATGCTTGCTTACTTGATGCAGTATGAGACTTGTGCCATTGATCTTGGAGGATAAATGGATATTGTGATTGCTAATTCCTCGTCCCAAATTTCAAGTTGATGCCAATTTTCTACCAGTACCTAACTAGTTTAGGATTGCTGTCTTTCTGTAGGTGCTTGGTTTGGGATGGTCCTCCATTTTCTACATTGAAAGCATTGCAAGAGTGAAGAAGCTGTCATTGAGTGGTTTGCTGTTGTACAAGCTACGGATAGCTGACCGGTTCTTTGTGCAGTGGCCCCAGCTGCAGCATGAGTATCCTCGAGCATGCTACGCTGGTCGTTTGATGTGAAGGCTTGACCATATCTGACGTTGGGATACAGTATTTTATTTTCCAACTCAGAGATTCAGAATACGATGGCAATCTATGTACACTTCGACAAATACAATTGTGGTTGCCTTAAAAAGAAAGGCTTTACACTCACATTTCATATATGCGGGCATGGAAATGCAAGTTACCTAAAGATAAGTTTTTCTGAATGTAAGAGAATCAGAGTGGACTTATCAAGTTATTGCAGAATGTAAAACTTATTTTTTATGTTTCGATAGTGATTATTTGTTTATAACTGTGCCTGGCCCCATTTGATGATTCTAGTCAGCAATTTGGAATTCAACATTCTTTGATATGCTCTTTTGCTGACTATTATTATCTTGACTCCTAACAGTTTGTTTCCCCAGACCATTTTTAGGGGAATGCCTTCCAAACCTTGCATGGGGTAAATTCTTCACCGTGGTGCATTGGCATAAGGGAAAATCAACGTAGTGTCGCCCTTGAGGGCTAATCGTGCTGTACTTTGGCCTCAAAAGGCAGTGAAATTTTTTATTGGTTTTTTTTAGCTGTTTTTAATGTGTGTATGATTTTGTTTTAACTGAGAAATGGCAGGAGCTCTACCTCGTAGGAGTATATTAGAGAAAGGAGAAGCAAAACAGTACAACAGAAAGTTCAGCCCTGCGGCCGCACAGCCACAGAGGAAGCAGACAAATTGCTTGGAGGGTAGCACCAAACACAAGTAGAGAACAAAACATCGTAAGACAACGACATTTCACTACTGAAACCTGTAAACACGCCATGATTGGTCAATATCTTCCTTTGCTCTGTTGCCCACAGAATCATCGGTTCAGGTGAGTGAACCACTCACCAGTCTTGCCGAGCGTCCGCTAGTATTGTCGAGCATCCACTAGCCGTGCCGACCACGAATAAACGTTGTCCGTCCCCACGCACTATGTCTAGAGCTAGAAAAAGGAAGAACAGAGCATACACACAGTACAAGACACCAGCGTTGGCCGAAGTCCTGTATGGGAGATGGCAAATCTGAACTCTCTTTACTGAGTTGCCGTGGTAGTCTATTTATACAACTCTATCCATCTAGTCCCAGTACAGCTGCCTTGATGCAACAGTGACTAGATAACATACAGGGTTGACTCTACGTCGGCCTCTGCATGTGTCTACAGTGCTGCAGGTGAGCCGTGCGGCGCCTGCACCTGCAGCGCTACAATATCACAGGGGCCTTTCGACGCCGCCTTCCCTTGCTGTGTTCACACAAGGTAGCAGTAGATTGTCTAACAATCTTCCCCTAATCCTACTGCTAACCATTGTACTCCTTACATGCCGATCATCTCCTTCAGCTCCATGAGTCGAAGACGTCCGAGCGGCTTGGTGAGGACGTCCGCGAGTTGCCGACCAGTTTCGACGAACTCGATGACGATCTGCCCTCCATCGACATAGTCTCTGAGGAAGTGGAACTTTACGTCGATGTGTTTACTCCGGTCGTGTAGAACCAGATTCTTCGCGAGGGCGACGGTGGACTGGTTGTCCACCATCAGTGGTGGTGGGTGAGCTTCCACACCGGTCAGCTCGCGCCATTGTGGCCGCCGCTACATACTCTGCCTTGCACGTAGATAGCGCCACCACTTTCTGTTTCAGCGACAGCCATGAAATTGGAGCCGACCCGAGGAAGACGAGCACGCTAGAGGTGTTCCGTCATCCGTCAATGTCCCCCGCCATGTCTGCATCGCTGAACACAGTGAGTTGCAGCCTACTCCTGTCGGTCTTTGGAAAGATGATCCCATGATCCACCATCCCCTTGACGTAGCGCAGTAACCGCTTCACCGCAGCCCAGTGATTCTCTCTGAGATCCTCCATGAAGCAACTAACGTAGCCCACGACGAACGCAATGTCCGGCCTCGTGTGGACTAGGTAGCGCAGACCGCCGATGATGCTCTGGTAGAGTATTGCATCCACCTTCGCCGCGGTGCTGGCCTTCATCAGCTTCAGCCGCTCCTCCATCAGAGTCACGCATGGCTTGCACTCAGCCATGCCGCTCCTCTTCAACAGCTTGGAGGCATACGCTCTCTGACCGAGCGTGAGTTCCTCCTTTCCCTGTCTCACCTCGATGCTGAGGTAGTAGGAGAGTGCGCCGAGATCGCTCATTCGAAAACGAGCCGCCATCTCGCGCTGGAAGCTGTTGATGTCCTCCGTGCGCGCGCCAGTGACGATCAAGTCATCCACATACACGCCGACGACGAGCTCCTCCTTCCCCCGTCGCCGCGTGTAGAGCGCGTGCTCGGTTGCGCACCGCTGAAATCCAAGCTCGCCCAGCGTGGCGTCAAGCTTGGCGTTCCATGCTCGTGGGGCCTATCGCAACCCGTAGAGCGCCTTGCGCAGTCGGAGCACCCTGTGCTCCTCTCCCTTGATGGCAAAACCTGGAGGTTGCCTGACGAAGACCATCTCCGCCAGCTCACCGTTGAGGAAGGCCGATTTAACGTCCAAGTGATGGACGTGCCAGTCCTTTGCTGCTGCCAAGGCTAGTAGCAAACGGACCGACTCCATGCGCACTACTGGCGCAAAGACCTCCTCGAAGTCTATGCCCTCGCGCTGAACAAAGCCTCGGGCGACGAGACGCGCCTTGTGCTTGACAATGGCGCCGAGCTCATCCCGCTTGACCTTGTACACCCACTTCAGGCTGATCGTACGGCATCCTGGAGGTGGATCGACGAGCTGCCAAGTCTCGTTTTCCTCGATCGCCTTCATCTCCTCCAGCATCGCCCGTCGCCAGTTTCCATCATGCTCAGCTAGCGTGAACGTGGGTGGTTCCTCAGCACTGACAAGTAGCAGCTCTGCGTCATTGAGCAGCCGACCAGCCAGTCCTGAGGGTCCTGTGCCATCGACGATGTCGTCCAGCCTGCAGAACCGTACCTCCTCACCTTCGTGGTAGACGTCCACGAACTCAGTGATGTCACTTGGAGGTGAGGCGAACTCGATCGACGTCGATAGAGTTCCCTGTTCCTCCGGAGTGCTCGGCATAGCACCTTGAGTGCCCGACACCCTGGTTGCAGTGCTCGGCACTACTTCTAGACAGCTCGTCACTACTCCTGCAGTGTTCGGCACCACTGTAGGAGTGCTCAGCCTCAGTCTTGGAGTGGTTGGCACCACTGCAAGACGTCTTGGCTCCGCCACGGGAGTGCTCAGCACCCATCCTAGAGTGGTCACCACCACTGCAGAACCTCCCGGCACCACTCCTAGCGTGCTCGGCATCCCTCCCGAAGTGCTCGGCACTGCCCCAGGAGTGCTCGGCACCTCTTCCCCAGCATCTCCACCACCATGGATGACTAGGTGCTCGACGACAAAGGTGCTGGTGAAGCCGCCAGCTTCCCCCGTGCTCGGACTGCTCCAGTCCCAAGCCACCTCCTTGTCGAGCACGATGTCGCGTGAGACAAGCACCTTGTCTCCGCGTGGGTCGTAGAGCCGATACGCCTTGGTACCCTCCGCGTAGCCCAGGAATACCATGGGTGTGCTCCTGTCCTCCAGCTTAGTGAGGTTTGGCTTTGTCTTCCTGACGTGGCTGATGCAGCTTGTTGGCCCATAGGATCACCGGCTTAGGTGAGTGAACCACTCACCAGTCTTGCCGAGCACCCGCTAGTATTGCCGAGCACCCACTAGCCATGCCGACCATGAACAAGCGTTGTCTGTCCCCACGCACTATGGCTAGAGCTAGAAGAAGAAGGGAGAACAGAGCATACACACACAGTACAAGACACCAGCGTTGGCTGAAGCCCTGTATGGGAGATGGCAAATCTGAACTCTCTTTACTGAGTTGCCGTGGTAGTCTATTTATACAAATTTATCCATCTAGTCCCAGTACAGCTGCCCTGCTGCAACAGTGACTAGATAACATATAGGGCTGACTCTGCGCCGGCTTCTGCATGTGCCTACAGTGCTGCAGGTGAGCCATGCGGCGCTTGCACCTACAGTGGCTACAGTATCACAGCAGGGGGCCTTTTGGCGCCGCCTTCCCTTGCTGTGTTCACACAAGGTAGCAGTAGATTATCTAACATGCTCATAGGGCCATGGCCAAAGCTGAAAAGTCAGTGATTCCTTTTTGTCCCACAAATTCCATGTAACATAATTGGCTACACCGTTGAAAGCGCTTCTTTGCTCCTTTGTACTACCTTTGCCGCAACCTCCCACCAATCAGCAATGGAGGCAGCATTGGTGCCCTGGATGTGAAGAAGCAAGAGAGGACAAGCTTAGCATGTGGCTAGCACAAGGATTGGAGGATCAAGGGTCAACGCTAGGCCACAATGTATGAAGAATGAAGATATCCCCAATGGTTGATGACAAAGACGATCAAGAACTCAAGGATGAAGATGGAGATCCATGAAGGAGTCAAGTGCTGCATGGTAGGACTCAAGAATTGAAGACTTTTCAAGAGTTACGATAAAAAAATACAGGGGAGTCAAGTGTGCTAAAGCTTGTCCTAATGTTCAAGTGTGAATGGTGGTGCAATATTGGTGAACATTTGGTCCAAAGAGCTTAGGCTTAATGCAAGGAGCCCAACAAAACAAGTCTCGCTTCAATCAGAATTCATGAGAATAAGTTAGAGGCAAGAATAGTTGATGATGCAATCACAAGATTGTCCGGTGGTAAGATAAATGCACCCACATACTGTGGAGTCTGTCCAGTGAAGTCAGTGGAAGACGCTACCACTGGATAATTAGAGGACATTCAACAGAGGCTAGGGTTTGGTGGCCCTAAGAAAATGAATGTATAGGATAGTTGAACAGACCGTGACGTCTAATAGGGGTGAATTAGGCTTCTTAAAACTAATTGGCCAACTAAAACCAACTTATCAAAACCTATATATGCATGATTCTATCCAAATGTGCACTACATTTTTGCTAAGTGTTTCTATCTCGAATACAAAATAGTTTTACACTCTAGGTTCCAATTCTATCGACTAACCTAGCAAGTTAGACAAAGAAAGATAAACACACAACCTAAGGAATGCAAAT